AGGCTGAGTTGGATTTGAATACAGAGAGAGAAGGGAAGACATCATGTGCCTTGAACTAGTGCAAAAGTACAGAGGCAAAGATGGTCACCATTAAGTGTCCCACAATTTAGTACTGAAAATTGCAGAGATTACTGAATGAATTTATGAAAGGAAATAATTCTGAGTCTGTCAATACAGTCATGCATTGCTTAACGATGGAGATACATTCTGAGAAACAAATCCATAGGTGATTTTGTCATTGTGTGAACATCACAGAGTATTTAGACAGACCTAGATAGTATAGCCTACTACACACCTAGGCTGTATAGTATAGCTGTGAAAGGAAAATAAAATCTTGGAACACTAAACTCACTATGCCAAAGGGAAAAGTTAAGCTTGGGAAATGAGTCATGCAAAAACTGCCTTCCTTTTGCTCCAAAACAGATAGCTGCAGCACAGGGGCCTCATATCTCCCCATGTGACCTCCCTCACAGATTGCACACAAGGAAATTCTTTGTGGGCCCAAGTCTTTACCCTAAAACAGAGTTCTGTGGAATCACATCCTGATAAAGTAGATGAACAGTTTATCTTCACAGGTACTGGACAAAGACAAGATTAGAAATCATCCCTCTGCTCACCCTGAGACAAATGCATGTTTGACTTCTGATATGGTCTGGCTGTGTCCTCACCCAAATTTCATCTTGAATTCCTACCTGTTCTGGGAAGGACCCTGTAGGAGGTAATTGAATCATGGGGGCAGGTCTTTCCCATGCTGCTCTCGTGATGGCAAATAAGTCTCATGAGATCTGACAGTTTTAGAAGAGGGAGTTTCCCTGCAAAATCTCCTTTATATGCCTGCTGCCATCCATGTAAGACATGACTTGCTCCTCTTTGCCTTCTGCCATGATTGTGAGACTTTCCCCAGCCATTGTAGAACTGTAAGTTCATTAAACTCTTTTTCCTGTATAAATTACCCAGTCTCAGGTATGTCTTTATCAGCCGCGTGAAAACGGACTAATACAACTTCTTTCTCTACTCCATGTTTATACTATGTAAAATGCAGATTTACTTTGTGAGAGGAATATATAATTGACTGTTCCTCTTTCCTCACCTGCCTGCTCTTTCCCCTTTAAAAACTGAGGTCCTCAAGACTCTTTGGAAAAAACATAGTCCACAGATTCTAGTGTAATTTGTGTCTCTTTTTCCTGGTGTGTCCTCAATCTGAGCAAAATAAGCCTCTAAATTGATGAGATTTGTCTCAGACACTTTTTGGTTTACATAGCCTATTGCTCCTAGGCTACAAAGCTGTACAGCATGTTACTGTACTGAATACTATAGGCAATTGTAACACAGTTGTGTTTGCATCTCTAAACATATCTAGACATAGAAAAGGTAACACATCGTGCTACAACCTTACAATGACTATGATGTCACTAGAAAATTTTCAGCTGCATCATAATCTTATGGAATCATCATCATGTATGGAGTCTGTTGTTTCATTTGCAAAGGAGTTGTGTTCTTTTGGTGGGGGGTAATTTTGAAACAAATATCTTCCTTTGTTTTGGGGGGTTTTTGGTATTGTTTTGTTTTGTTTTGTCTTGTTTTGAGTCAGGGTCTCACTCTGTCATCCAGGCTGGTATGCTGTGGTGCTATCATAGCTCACTGAAGCCTCGACTTCCTGACCCCAGGAGATTCTCCCGCCCTGTCCTTCCGAAGTGTTGGGATTACAGGCATGAGCCACTGTGCCAGCTGAAATCCCTTTCTTTGAAGCACATTAGAGAATGAAAAAGAAAAGAGAGAAAAAAATAAGAGAAAGAATAAAAAGAAATTGCTGTGTTCTGAGTCATGTCCCTCCTGGTAAATAAAATTTATGGGAGGCCATTATTTTGGACTGAGGTCCCATAGTAGGAAACAATAGACCAAACCACATAATCAAGCTAAAACTTTAAGGAAGCAGATAAATCCCCAAACACACCAGTTTTTCTCGAAAACAAGAGGTTCACTCACAGCCATCACTTGGAAAAGACCCAGTCAACTTGAGTCACCCTAATAAGGAAGTCCCTTCTGTTTTAAACCTTATAAGAAAAGTAACCTGAAGTAACCTGATGTTAACCATTCTGCTTTTTTCTATATTTGTTTCCTTGTTCTCATATAAAAACTGCTGCAGTAAGCGCTGATCATGCCACCATACTCAAGCCTGGACAAGAGTGAGACCCTGTCTCAAAAAAAGCAAAAAACAAAAAAGTAACTGTTTTGCTAAACCCAGTAGAGCACTCACTATTTTATAGAATAAAATGCTGTCTGATTCTAGAATCCCAAATAAAAGCCAGTTTGATCTTTAAATTTGTTGTAATTTTGTCTTTTAACACTGTTAAAATTCATATATTGAAGCTTAAAACCCACCCCTTCTCTCTCTCCTCACCACCCTGTGTATGCACAAAGAAGAGGTCATTTGAGCATCCACCTGCAAGCAAAGAGAAGAGGCTTCAGAATAAAACCTTCCTTGCTGGCACCCTGATCTTTCCAGTCTCCAGAACTGTGAGAAGTATATTTCCATTGCTTAAGCTACACAGTCTATGGCACTTTGTTATGGCAGCCTCAGCTGACTAAGACAAATACTATTTTCAGAAAGTGACTTATCACTGGGTGCGGTGGCTCACACCTGTAATCCCAGCACTTTGGGAGGTGGAGGCAGGCAGATGCTTGAGATCCCAGCCTGGCCAATATGGTGAAACCCCACCTCTACTAAAAATACAAAAAATTAGCTGGGCGTGGTGGTGTGTGCCTGTAGTCCTAGCTACTTGGGAGGTTGAGGCAGGATAGTTACTTGAGCCCAGGAGGCAGAGGTTGCAGTGAGCTGAGATCGTGTCACTGCACTCCAGCCCGGACAACAGAGCAAGACCCCATCTCAAAAAAAAAAAAAAAAAAAAAAAGAAAGAAAAAGAAAAGAAAAAAGAAAATGACTTAGTGATTTACTTTTTATGAGCTGCTTGGGGAAGTTGATGGGAGATTGGTCACTAACTTCTATCAACAGCTAAGCTCATCAGCCTTATATCTGGACAGAACAAAATTTCTGTCTCAGCTAAATAATGCATTTCTGTATGGCAAAGGGATTGATCTATAATTTAAAGGGCAATAGTACCATGGTACGTCCTCTCTTCCCCGTGACTGCTATGCTACTTTGTCAAGGAACTCTCTCTGAGGATGGGAGAAAAGGGTTCTTGCCTGGTTGTTCTGCATCACCTACCACTTTTCTGGCCAACTGATGATTGTAGGGCATTCATTTTATTTAGATTTCCTTTATTTCTTTCATCTCTCCTCTCATAATCAAAGAACATTAAGTGCTTGCTCAGGTGTTTTAGACTCTTGTCCAAAGATCTTGCCCAAGGTCACTGTATTAGTGTGGTTTCACACTGCTACAAAGAAATACTTGAGACTGAGTAATTTATAAGGAAAAAAAGAGATTTAATTGACTCGCAGTTTCACATGGCTTGGGGGGCCTCAGGAAACTTACAATCATGGCAGAAAGTGAAGGGGAAGCAAGCACCTTCTTCAGAAAGTGGAACAAAAGAGAAGAATGAAGGAGGAACTACCAAACACTTATAAAACCACCAGATCTCATGAGAACTCACTCACTATCACCAGAACAGCATGGGGGCAACTGACTCCACCGTCCAATCACCTCCCTCCCTCAATACAAGGGGATTACAGGTCCCTTCCTTGACACGTGGGGATTACAAATCAAGATGAGATTTGGGTGGGGACACAGAGCCAAACGATACCAGTCACTGAACCACCACATTTGTGATGTACATTCCTAAAACTTTTCTTAGTTCTATGATCTGGACAAAGTACCTGTACTACCTCTTTGTGACCTGATCAATAGTTTAGTCAAGTTCAATAATACTGATACACAATACAAGCTTCGTTTACTGAGAAATTTTTTGCCTGGAAATGTGCTAAACCTTTTATAGGCATCATCTCATTTAATCCTGCTTTGTAAACAGGTGAAATGGTGATAATCTACATTATAGGCTTAGAGAAGCTAAGTATCAAGCCCAAGTTCACACTGTTGTAAGATGAACTTGGGTTTCGAACTGAAGTCTGACTGGTAAATGCCAAGGCAATATCAATATGGATATGCTAAGAATAATGAATCAGAATCAGGCACAGTTTTTAAAACATCAAATAATGTATGTAATTACTTAAAATTTTAAATTGTTATGCAATAATTTGACTTTTTTTTTTTTTTTTTTTAAGGCTAGCACATTAAGTATACCTCTCATTACAACTAGTTCAAGTATATGAGATTCCATTTCTGGTCCATATTACTCATTTTGCTTTCCTGGGTTCTGATCATCTTTTGTATTTTCATGTTTCCTATTTGTATTTGTTTGGCAGCTTTTCTCTCCTTTACAAAATTGGGTAGTTATGCTTCTCCAGTAACCTTGGTGAGTCAGTTCAACCTCTAATTACTTCAGTCTCCTTCCCTGCAAGAAAAGCAGTCAAACTACACGAACTCTCTATTGTTTTGCATCATTTCACAAGCACACAGGGATAAGGAGGGAAATAATTCTCCCAATGAAGCAGAACCACCGGTAACAGCTGGCAAAACTTCTAAAGACTCAGTCTGTCTTGAAAAACAGCCTCAAATTGTCCCTAAATAATAATTACCCCACCTGTAGCAGGACTATCTCACTGACTAGCTGCACTTGATGACACAATACCTGCTATTAACTCTCAGCATGGATATAAACACTGCCATAATACTTTTTAAAACCAACAATGTATCATTTGCACATCAGGACAACAGAATGTTAGTTAAGGCATAGAAAACACAAAAGGAATGGCTACCCTGTTCTTCGGTGACTCCATATCTAATTATTACCAAATACGTCTCCAGTCTTTAGACAAATTTAATTATTAAAAAGGTGGTTGGACAAATAGCAAAGATTTGCTTTTCATTAACAAAGGGCACATCAAAACCGAGTTTATCCTTCCCAGTTACCCAACATTCAAAGCTTCTACTGCAGCCACTTTCTAGTCATTTTAGACCCCAGAGCAGTGTGACGATTTGATGCATAAGTTTCAACACGTTTTATTAATCTATTCTTCTTGTGCTTCATTTAAAATATTGGAAACTATAAAAAGATCAGCGTGTTAATCCTCTGCCAGGAAACAGGGGGAAAAAAAGTTAAAAACCTAACAACAACACGAAGAAAGCAAGAGCGCTGGAATCTCAGCTTTGAGGAAACACATGGGATGAAAGCATCCGCCCAAGCTCTAACCATTTGTCACATGGGACACTTCCCCTCGGGGTGAATCCTGGATGTCCCCAGGATGGAGCGAGGAGGTCGTGCGTGCGGGCGAGTGTGTGACTGCAGGGGGCCTTGGCGGCGCGAGGAGGCGACACCGCCCCCTCCCTCAGGCGCAGGGAGGGTCTTCCAGGAAGCGGCGGACCTCGGCTGACTCCGCGGCTGCGGGTCCCGGGCTGCGGCCGCCGAGGCCGGCACGTAGCGCCGAGCGTGACTCAGCGCTGACTCATCGGACTCGCTGCCAGTGGATTTCCCCAGTCAGCTGCTCGCGCTCCTCCTGTCGCCGGGAGCTCGCAGGACTTCGCAGATACCGCTGCCTCCTTAGTCTTTCCTGCACAGCAGAGCAGTCCTGTCGCTTTAAACAGAGCTAGCCAGCTTTCACTGCTTTTGAATCCCTACCGAGCGGGGCACTGCCGTGCTCTGTTTTCTTTGCCTGTAAGAGTGCAATAGTCCACTAATCAAACTCTTTCATCAAAAGCGTGTTGGGACAAATCCCTGACATCGTCCTTCCACTGTGACTTCGAGGTGACCTCCACCCAGGTTTCACTTCCGTTGTGCCCAGCTCTCGTCTTATTTTTGTCCCTCATTTTGTGAATTTATCCTCTCACCACGCTTGATAACACGTTGGCGCAAACCCACAATTGTGGTGACGCAAATCAGGTTGAAACTTGGCATCGTCGTGTGCAGGCAGTGAGGGACTTACTGTAAAAACTGGGGCCTTCATAAAGGCGTTCTTATCTGCCATCCCACTTGCTGATTAGATACCATGCTCATTTTCTGTCAGCCACTCCCCTTTGAAAGTTCCTGAGAAAGATTTAGATGAAACCTGTATTCAGGAGCTGTCGTGCTCATTTGTTCTTCCCCAGAGTTCAATCTGCAACGCGGCAGTAGGGCAGCATTTCTCCAACTTTACCATAGACCGCCTGCATCAAAAGCGCCGCGGTAAAAATGCAGATTCTTGAAGCTCACCTCAAATTACAGACTCAGAATGTTCTGGCGGGGTGGAGGCATGGAGGCACCTGTCTGAGGGCGGGGCCTAGAAATAATCCATCGTGTTAACCAACTACCTATCAGTGATTCTTAGGTATATTTAGGTTTGAAGACTACTAGCAAGAGGGGGAGGGTGTGAGACATTATACTGGGTAGACTCTAGGACTCCTTACAATATAGAACACTGTGTTCTAAAATTGATGTTTAAGTTTTGATGGAAGGAAAAAATATTTCCAAATTTGGTTTTATATATTATATTGTTTGCTTTAACTGTATATTAATATAGACAAATTTTCTTTCTTTCTTTCTTTCTTTTTTTTCTTTAAAGACACAGAGGGTCTTTCTGCGTTGCCCAGGCTGGCCTCGAAATCCTGGGCTCAAGGAACCCTTCCACCTCAGCCTCTCCAGTAGTTAGGACTACAAGCGTGCACCACCACTTGGCTCTTTCTTTTTCTCTTTCTTCCTTTTTTTTTTTTTAATTTACTTATTTTGAGACATGGTCTCTCTTGCCCAGGCTAAAGTGAAGCGGTGGGATCTTGGCTCACTTCAGCCTCACCCTCCCCAGGATCAAGTGATAGTCCCACCTCAGCCTCCTCAGTGGCTGTGGTTACAGGTGTGTGCCACCATGCCTGAATAATTTTTGTATTTTTTTAAGAGACAGGGTTTCACCATGTTGCCCAGGCTGGTCTCGAACTCCTGGGCTCAAAAGATCCACCTGCCTCTGCCTCCCAAGGTGCTGGGATTACAAGGGTACACCACCACACCTGGCCAGCTCTTTTTTTTTTTTTTTTAATTAGAACTTTGTTTATAAAATAAAATCAAGTTTCTATAAATTTTCTTTATTTCAGAGTAATATTTCTTCAATCTGACTTTGTGTCAGAATTACCCAAAGAGTTATACAAAAACTCTAATTCCTTGACCAGCCCTCAGGCTTGAAGACACTATCTCTGAAGGTAAAGGCCCCCAAATAGGCTTTTTTTTTTTTTTTTGTCGACATGGTCTTACCCTGCTGCTCAGGCTAAAGTGCAGTGGCGTGATCACTGCTTGCTGCAGCCCCAACCTCCCAGGGGTCAGGTGATCCTCCCAGCTCAGCCTCCCAAGTAGCCAGGGCTACAGGCGCGTGCCACGCCTGGCTAATTTTTGTATTTCTTATAGAAATGGGGTTTTTCCAGGTTCCCCAGGCTGGTCTCAAATTTCTGAGCTCAAGTGATCCGCCCACCTAGGCCTCTCAAAGTACTGGAATTACAGGCATGAGCCACGACACTCAGTCAAAAATAGGCATTTTGAAATGCTTTCAAAGTTAGTCTTTGAACTTTTTCAAAGTCACCACTATTCCCAAGTAGTAACATCAGTAACTCCAGGGTAGTTGGCCTATATTGTTCCATTGTGGTGCTCATTCATCTCTCCGTCTGCAGTGTTTCATTTTGAAATCACCATTTTAAAAATAAAATTATGCTAAAAAGGAATCTGATGAGATAAAAGGAAAAAGATAAAAATTAAAAGTGACCACATAAAATATCAGCTCACTATTATATTCATAAATTCACTTATTTAGAAAACAAGGTTGAAATATTTGTATTCTAAATCTTTTGTGTAGGTGGGGAGAGCGGGTTGATTGGACAATAATCTTCAAGTCTATTTTGAAATTTTTAGATCAGGTGTGGTGGCTCATGTCCGCAATCCCAACACTTTGCAAGGCCAAGGCGGGAGGCAGGATTGCTTGAGCCCAGGTGTTCAAGACCAGCCTGGGCAACATAGCAAGACACTGTCTCTAAAAGAAAGAAAAAAAAGTAATTGTTTTCCCCTTGGATATTTTGTTTACTTCTTTTCTTTTCCTTCCCTCCCTCTCCTCCTCCCCTCCTCCTCCTCCTCCTCTTCCTCCTCCTCCTCCTCCTCCTTCTTTCTTCTTTAGGGGAGAGGCACAAGACACAAGTTCCATGAATACTTATTTTCTTTTCATTTCACTGGGTTTTTCCATTCAATCTCTGTTAGCATTGTGGCAAAAAGCCAAAAAGCCTAGCTCTGAAACATGCCTTACAAAGACATCTCCTTGCTGACCTTTTTTTTTTCACTCTGTTGCCCAGGCTGGAGTGCAGTTGTGTGATTTCAGCTCACTGTAACCTCCACCTCCCAGGTTTAAGTGATTCTCTTGTCTCAGCCTCCAGAGTAACTGGAATTACAGGCGCACACGCCACCACGCCCAGCTAATTTTTTGTATATTTACTTCTTTATTTTTGAGATGGAGTCTCGCTTTGTTGCCCAGGCTGGAGTGCAGTGGTGTGATCTCAGCTCACTACAACCTCTGCCTCCTGGATTCAAGAGATTCTCTTCCCTCAACCTCCTGAGTAGCTGGGACTACAGGCACACACCACCAAGCCCTGCTAATTTTTGTCTTTTTAGTAGAGACAGGGTTTCACTATGTTGGCCAGGCTGGTATTGAACTCCTGACCTCGTGATCTGCCCACCTCAGCTTCCCAAAGTGCTGGGATGACAGGCATGAGCCACCATGCCCGGCCAACGCCCAGCTAATTTTTAGAATTTAATCTAGTTTTATTTATTTATTTTGACAGAGTCTCACTCTGTCACCCAGGCTGGAGTGCAGTGGTACGATCTCAGCTCACTGCAACCTCTGCCTTCCTTCCCGGATTCAAGTGATTCTCCTGCCTCAGCCTCCCAAGTAGCTGGGATGCCCAGCTAGTTTTTGTATTTTTAGTAGAGTAAGGATTTCATCATGTTCACCAGACTTGTCTCAAACTCCTGACCTCAAGTGATCCACCCGCCTTGGCCTCCCAAAGTGCTGGGATTATAGGCGTGAGCTCCCACACTGGGTCTGGCTTTTTTATAGCCTTGATTCTCCAAGCCTGGTCCTTGGTCCAGCCGCATGGGCATCACTGGGGAACAGACTCTCAGACCCCATCCATAACAACTGAATCAGCATCTGCATGTTAGCAAGATCCCCCAGGTGATGTGTGTGAAAATTCAGGAACCACTGTCTTACAGTAATTGTAAGAGTTACAATCTAAGGCTGGTGGAGGAGGAAAGAAGAAGAAATAAGTCTGGTTGTGGAGGGGACATGTATTAGTTTCCTAGGGCTGCTATAACAAAATACCCCACAAACTGGGTAATTAAAACAATAGAAATTTATTCTCTCACAGTTCTGGAAACCAGAAGTCCAAAGTGAAGGAGTCGGCAGAGCCATGTTCCTTCTGAAACTCTGGGTAGAATCCTTCCTTGTATCTTCCTAGCTTCCAGAGGTGACCATGGATACTTGCAGTTCCTGGGTTTGTAGCTGTATTACTTCAGTCTTTGCTCCTGTGGTCACATGGCATTTTCCCTGAGTGTCTGTCTTTTATGTTGTCTTCTTATGTTGGATTAGGGCCCAGTGAATACGTTGTAAATTGATTATATCTGCAAAGGTTCTATTTTCAAATAAGGTCACCTGAACAGGTACTGGGGTATAGGATTTCAATAAATTATTTTGGGGGACACAGTTTATCCCATAATAGGGAGATGTGGAGATTTTATTATCAAGAAGTGGAAATGCATTATGTGAAAAAAAAAACTTAAAAAATAAGCATTATTTTAAAATAACCTGATCGTATTTTATTTTTAAATTTTATTTATTTATTTATTTTTGAGACAGAGTCTCACTCTGTTGCCCAGGCTGGAGTGCAGTGACAATCTCGACTCACTGCAACCTCTGCCTCCTGAGTTCCAGTGATTCTCCTGCTTCACCTTCCCAGATAGCTGGGATTACAGGTACATGCCACCGTGCCTGGCTAATTTTTTTTTTTTTCTTGTTTTGTATTTTTAGTAAAGACGGGATTTCACCATGTTTGCCAGGCTGATCTCGAACTCCTGACCTCAAATGATCCATCTGCTTCAGCCTCCCAAAGTGCCGGGATTACAGGTGTGATCCACTGTGCCTGGCCTCAAGGACAATTTAGCATCTCTCATAACATGAAGCTGAGTTGAAAGAAAGAACTCAGTAGTTATTAATAATAATAGTCAAAGCTATGGCATACCTCTGGACAAACATACAAAATCGCACATGTTTAAATATGTATGGTACAAGGCAAGACAAACTTCTACCACAAAGGATTAGTTTGACCATAGAAAGTAAGCTCTAAAAAAAAAGGGAAAAAGCCGGGCATGGTGGCTCATGCCTGTAATTCCAGCTACTCGGGAGGCTGAGGCAGGGGGAATTGCTTGAACCCAGGAGGTGGAGTTTGCAGTGAGCTGAGATTGCGCCACTGCACTCCAGCCTGAGTGACAGAGCAAGACTCTTTCTCAAGAAAAAGAAGAAAAAGTAAAAAAAATAATTATAGCTAAAATTATAATCACAGTAACAGGTAAACTAAAAATATCGTAGGACCAGGGCAAGAAAGAGAAGGGAATCCTTATAATCCCGGGAAAGGATAAGAGTAGGACTAGAGGGGCAGCTTCAAGGTAATAACGTATTTTTAAAAGCCCTTGACAGTTTGTAGTAGGAATCTCTTTTTGTCTGCCCTGCATTAATTCTCCCTCTTTCCTTTGAGAAGCCTCAAGTCATCCTGGCCAACATTTCTATGTAGGACTCTCAGCCACAGTGCTTGCCTTCTCCTTGTCCCTTCCCCCAAGGTTGAAACACAGGGCTATTTATGTCCTAGGCATCTAAATATGGAGTATAGTCTCAAAAATGAAGAAGGTGTTTGAAGCTGAGTCATTTTAGTGGTACTGATCAGAGACACAAACCAGATATTTTGTTT